ATGCTCACTGCTGATTACTCTAAGTACTCGCCATAAGCTTTATGTGAAACACTAACCCTCCTGCCCTTGAACCAAAAATTCCAGAGACTTCCATGGCCCCGTCCACTGGGTCTACCCTTTGATCTTAGATCCTAAAGGTACCCACTCCTTGGAAAAATATACAGAAAAAGGATGTCAATGAAGAGAGCACCAAGACCAAGGCCTTCCCCAACCCACACCCCAAGGGAGAGTGACCCCCTGCCTTGGCTTGCCTGGGGCAATCCTGGTGTGTTCATTAGCAAGACACCCTCTCCCATGCCCCTAGGGCCTAGGCAATGCAGAGCCAGGGTCCCTCCAAGTCACTTGCAGGTGTTGGAAGCAGATGGACCTGTCTGATGACAACAGCCTCAGGGGCTAACAGGGAAGAGAAGCAATCAAGGAGGAAGAAACCTCCAAAGACAGAAACTGCCGGCCCCACCTCCCTTCCCAAAGCCCCGCTCTGGAGCCTGGCAGCCCAGCTGTGTCCCTGGGAATCCCTTTGCTTGGACCTCCCTCAAAGCCCCTCTTCCTCAGGTAGGGGAACCCAGGGGAGGTCTCTACTTCAGGAAATTTTTAAAGAGGACTTTAAGCCCTAACCAGTTTGAATCAGTGGATAGGGTGTTGGCCTGCGGACTGAAGGGTCCCAGGTTCGATTCCGGTCAAGGGCATGTACCTTGGTTGTGGGCACATCCCCAGTAGGGGTTGTGCAGGAGGTAGCTAATCAATGTTTCTCCCTCATCGATGTTTCTAACTCTCTCTCCCTCTCCCTTCCTCTCTGTAAAGAAATCAATAAAATATTTTTTTTTAAAAGAGGCCTTTAACCCCTACTCCTAACAGGGTCCCCAACCAGTACAAGAAGCTCAAAAGGTGAACTTTTACTTTAGAAAGAAACCATTACGTGGACTTAAAAGCTAGCATGTGTTTGATGGTCATAACATTCTTGGGTCTCACAAGTGGTCTGTTAGCCAGCACAGGGTGTTAAAGACACAAGTCTGAAAAGATCACAACCAGCCATACTAACCGATTCCTGACAAGCAATTTGCATTCACAGTGTGCTTCCAGACACGGAGCCTCACTGCCGCCTTTCCCAGCCCCATGAGATCGGCATTGTTACCCCAAGGTTTACAAGAGGGGAAGGACCCCGAGAAAAGCTGACTGACTTGCCAAAATCACGGAGCACAGAAGTGGCAGCGCTGGAGCCGGGAGCCCAGGCTTGTGGTTCTCGTCAATCCAGCCAGTCACATCACAGTCAGACTAAACTTGAAGTCAGTTGTACAGGAAACAAAAAAAAACACAGCGAAGGAAAAGTCCAGGAGGAACCATGTAAGTAGTGCAGGCGACATCTCTGCCCCGTCCTCTTCACGCATCGCGAGCGTGGAAGGAGAAACGACTGGAGACAGGGCCATGTGATTCACTCAGTTGGACTCGGTTCTCAGATACTTTCACAAGGCGGGCATCTCCTCCCTGACGTGATCCTAAGATGTAAAGGCTTGTGTTTTCTCAACAATATATATATACAGAAAACAGCAAATTATAAAAATATAAATAGCCCTAGCCGGTTTGGCTCAATGGATAGAGCGTCAGCCCAAAGACTGAAGGGTCCCAATTTGGTTCCGGTCAAGGGCACGTACCTCCGTTGCAGGTTCTCTGGCCCTGGTCCGGGCACGTGCGGGAGGCAGCCGATCTATGTGTCTCTCTTTCTCTCCCACTCCCTTCCACTCTCTTTAAAAATCAATGGAAAAATATCTTTGGGTGAAGATTAGCATAAATAAATAAATAAATAAATAAGAAATAAACAAACAAACAGAATCTACAGAACAGGCTGATTTTTAAATAAATATATAAAGGCTTGTGTTTTTGATAACACAACCCCTAAACACACATGAACACAACTCGTGCATCTGCTGCTCAACCCAAGGGAACATATTAGATGTCAGAGGAAAACCCTAGTGAGCAACCATGCCAGCTCCTCCACACACACTCACACACACACACACACACACACACACACACACACGGCACCATCCTCAGAGCCGTGGCTGCTCCACTGTCCAGCAGGCACAGTGGAGAAAATGCCCTGACAGACCCCACCTCACCCACTCCTGCCAACAGCCCTGAGAAAGGGGGCAATAGGAGACATGTGGTTGTCCCCGTCTTGCAGGCGGGGCAGGATAGCGAATTGTGTTGTTGTTTTGAGATAGTACATTGTGTTGTTTTCTCTGTATCTATGCCATAGGGGACAGAAGTGGACTCATGAAGATCAGGCCCCTGAGGGAACGGCTTTCAGGACTGGGCAAGGTTCTTGGGCCCAGCTTGGTCCAAAAACCACAGAGCTGCCGGCCCCCAAAGCACAAGGCATGGACAGTGCAGCTGCCAGCTGGGGCCTTGCTGGACTGAGGCTGGACTGTCCTCCCTGTAGAACAAAGCACCATGGAAACTCCTGGGCCCCAGTAATAACTATAAACAAGTTTCTTGCTCACCCTGGGAGATGAGAACGTGTTTATTTTTGCTTTTTGCTTTTCTTTTTTGTGTGTGTGGGTTTTTTTGTTTGTTTGTTTGTTTTTTTAGAGCAACTTAAAAATTCACACCAGAATTATAGGGAAGGTACAGAGATTTCCCATATACCTCCTGCCCATACAGATGCATACCCTCCCCCCATCACCAACACCCTTCACCAGAGTGGTACATTTGTTACAGTTGATAAACTGATATTGATTACCCAAAATCCATAGTCTACAGTAGGACTCATTCTTGATGTTATGCCTTTTATAGGTTTGGACAAATGTATAATGACCTATATTCACCATTATAGTATCGTACAGAGTATTTTCACTGCCCTAAGGTCTTCTGTGCTCTGCCTATTCATCTTTGCCTCCCCCCACCTCCCCCCACACACACACACACCCCACAACCACTGATCTTTTTTACTGTCTCCATAGTTTCACCTTTTCCACAATGTCATATAGTTGCAGCTTTTTCAGATTGGCTCCGTTCACTGAGTAATATGCATTGAAGTCTTTTCCATGTCTTTTCATGGCTTGTACTCCTTTCTCTTGGCACTGAGTAATATGGACTTGTCTGGGGGTACCACAGTTTATTTATCCATTCACCTCCTGAAGGACAACTTGTTTTGTGTTGACTTTTTTAAATGAAGAAAGATGACATTTCTTGTGGATCTTATTTTGTGATTGTAAATTTCTTCTCACCATTTGAGTGAGAAAAAAACTGAGATGCCAAACGTCCATAAAAACATGTTTTTGAGGTATAAGAGCAGCCCTAGTTTGTAACGAGACACTTGGTTTATTAGGCAACCTGTTGGCTAACTTATGGTTCTCTCCTTGTTTCCTACACAGACCTCCATGGTTTAGAGGGACTTTGGGGTGATCCTGTCCTTTACTGACTCACTGGACCGATAATCTCAGCACCAGTTACCATCCTTGGGATGTCTTGCCAAGACACACAGTAGAAGGGGTCCCCGAGGCCCAGGGTCATTAAGCAGCTTTCCGTGCTGTGATGCCGGGCCTTTCATTAGGATATAGGAAGTAGCTCGGTTTAATGGATCCTTGTCGTAGAAGAGTCTGTGACTATAAACTCACTTGATATTCATCTAGTTGCAAATGTCTCCTACACATGTCCTGTTCTGCTCCCATTCTAAAATTTGGCTTTTCCTTGCTTTTTAGCATTTGAAGATTTCTTTTTCAGTTTTTCTTACTTTCCAGCTCAGAGATACAGTTACAGGTTTCTCTTACATTTAATCCAGTATATGTATGTGTTCAGAGCCCAAGGAAGACTCCCCATGGCACCTCAGTTTGCCATTCTCAGGGTAGTCTCTGTAAAAAGTTCATTCATTCATTCATTCATTTGACATTTTTGAGTCATTATGAGGTGTCAGGCACTGGGATGAAACAAACACGAGTGAGACAAAATGCCGGTTCCCAACAACCTTAGAGTCTAGGGAAGACAACAAACTCCAGCGCCGCGGGGCTCAAACCGGCATAGGTGTGCGCCAAAGGGAACAGGAGCAAAGAGTCCGGAGCCCCTCACTCGGTGGGAAAGCCAGGGAAGGCTTTGCCTGTATGGCCAGGGGTGATGAATGTGACCAGCCAAGACCCATCTGTGATCAGCATGTCAGTAACACAAATCAACCTTGGCATGTGTGATCTGCACCTGTTTTAAAATGCAATGGAGCATAAGGTAAAGTGGGCTGTTGGACGACTCATGAAACCTGGGTCAGAGTTCTCACTCCGCCTCCGTGTGAACATGAGCCTTTCTACGCATCTCGTTCTCACCAGATTATTTAACCATTTGGGTTAAACAATCTCTACAGTCTTCTCTAGCTGAAGATGACATGACTATTATACTGAACTGTCATCATTTTCCCACCAAAAACATTTTATTACATTAGTTAAGGAAATGCAGCTAAATGCTAGTATATCTGTTTCGCCAATGTCGACAAATGCAAATTTAGCTGAAGCAGTAGACCCGGAAGAAGAAAACAAATAAACCAAAAAACTAGAGAGAGGAGAGATGGCTGGTGAGCCTTGGATGCAATTAGCACAATGATGCTGGAACACGGCAGAATGAAACTGTGGCTGTTCGGCGTGAATGGGCAGAAAGTCGTTTTGACTATTTCTGCTTCACCTGCTTAATCACAAACTTCTCAAAGTTACAAGTCGCATCTTTGCCTCGCAGCCCACTACCGAACACCAGGGGACCCTTCATAAATACAAATTGGTTGTGAGGAAGAAGACACCCGTCTTTTGGTATTTGTTAGGCTGCTGAAAACATGCTTTCAACCTGCCGCAGCAACAAGCCGGTCCCTCCTGGCAAGCAGCCCCTTCCCTCAGCATAATGGACACGGTTACTCCAACGCCCAGAGCCCCTCCCTAGATCCAGGATAACAAAAACTATGTCCTCGAGAGCCCAAATTGGTATGAAGTGAGGTAAATGATGATGCTAAGTGCGTAGCTTCAATTGCTCACCCAATTCCGAATCTGTTGTTTGCAATCTTTAGCTCAGCTCTGCCAAAGTTGGGTTCCGGCCCCAGCAGCCGAGGCAGACAAAAGGGGAAGCGCAGCGCCACCTGCTGTCCGTCCGCGGGGAGCTGCGGAGAAATTCCTTCCAGTGGGACTGCCGCTGCATTTTGTAAATCAATTTTCTCTACTGTAAAGGAATACATGAAGTGTAGCAGTTGTCGTATGTTTCATTATCTTCTATTGTTTAGTTTTTGTCATATATTCTGCATAAGGATCTCAGACAAAAATGAAATTTTAAGTTTAAAACCTAGTTTAGAATATTTTAATGTATGCGCTTTATAGAACCACAACATACATTTCTTTTAAATCACCTGACCTTTTCTTTGCATTCATTTTAAGTACCATAAAATTAGTGTCATACACACAGGGAACTATTGGTGAGGAAAAATGTATCTAACAATGTTATTTTTTTTTAAAAGCCAAAACTTGCATCGAGTTTACTGATCTTTTCTTAAGTAAACTTGGAATATGATTCTATTTTAATAAAGCCTATTTTCAGAGCTAACAGTGGTACCCTGGAATTCCTTCAACTATGAATAAAGAAGTCCTTCCCTGGCCAGCATGGCTCAGTGCTTGGGCGTCAACCTATGAACCAGGAGGTCACGATTGGATTCCCAGTCAGGGCACATGTTCGGGTTGCAGGCTCGATTCCCAGTGGGGGGCGTGCAGGAGGCAGCTGATCAATGATTCTCTCTCCTCATTGATGTTTCTATCTCTCCCTTCATCTCTGAAATCAATAAAAATATATTTTTTAAAAAGAAGCCCTAGTTAGGACTACATATTGGCTTTCTAGCGTGGATGATTTGGGGCTTGTGTTTTATGACCAGAAAAAAAAAAATATGTGGTGAACAAGAAGTCAAGGACAGCCACAAATGTCTCCGAACCCTTACCTGCCACACGGCCATCCCTAAGACTCTGTATTGCTCCCACGGCAGCAACCTGGCAGAGAAGCCCAGGGACAGCTTTCTCTGGCCCCTTCTCCCAACATCTCCTACTTTTATTAATTAAGCTTCTCTTCCTATAACTCGAGGTAGGAGTGACAGCAAGAGAGAAACGGTGCTTGTTTTTTTATTACAAATATTCCCAAAAATATTGAGTGAGACCAAGATGCTAGAAATAGAATTCATGAAACAAATTATAGATTGAGCCATAAGAAACTGCTGCTAGTTGACTATTTTTACCTGAAATAAAGCAATTTTGCATGCTACCTAGGAAATACTTAGGAAACTCAAGAAAAGGAACACCGACGTGGATATAACATCCCACGGAAGTGCAGCTTTTAACTGCACAGAATTGGTTTGACGCTGTCCATGTGTGTGTGACCTGAGGTTGGACAAATGCTGCAGCTTGCTATCCGAGTTACAACGTGGCACCATCACTTACACGTGCAAACACGCTTCCAATAGGGATGATCCATTTGGGCGATAAGACTTAGTTTCTCATCCTTGTTTAGTAGTTAAGTCTCTGTCAAACTTTTCTATGTTGTAATATAAATTAGAACTACATATAAAATTAACATCTTCATATATCCACTAAAGACATGCTCTGTTGCCAAAGCCTATTTCTAAGGCAGCTGCTTAAAATAAGAAAGCACCGTCTCAAAGAAAGATCAGGAAGTTGAGCTCCCAGGCCAGCTCATGAGAGTCTGCATCATTCGCGATGCAGCTCCACTATGATGTCATTTTACAAACCTGAATCGCAAGCCCCGGAAGCAGAAAGACAAAAAGAAGAATGAAAAGGATCAGAAAGTGGCCTTGTGATATGTAGTGTTTGTGACACAATTTCCAGTATTCTGATGTACTTTGTTATTTTTAAGTACTGAAATGTGTATTTAGTTCTGGGTAATCCTGTTGTTTTAATACTTGAAAGAATGTGAATCCTAGATCATTTATGAATTCGCAGGTCAATGACTCAATGGTTCAATTTATACCACAATACAAAGTTATGCTCATTTTTTCCATCGAGGCAAAACCACACCCATAAAGGTTGCAATAAGCAACCAGATGTGTGACTGCAAAGGATTGAGGCTTATTCCAATTCAAAGACTTTCTGAACAAGTGAAATATGAAAGCACCAGTATTGAAATTGACAAAGGTCCCTCCATCTCAGTCTCCACATGATGAAACTAAGAAATTCGACAAAGGCAAATCCAACATGCTTGCTTCAAAACAAAATATTACAGCTTCCCATGATAAAAAGAGCGTCACTCTGAAAGACGATCATGAATGAGGCAGCATCCCATCTAGCAATTAGAAGGGTTTGTATAAAATGGAAGGTTTCACCCTAGTCAGTTTGTCTCAGTGGATAGAGCATTGGCTTGTGGGTTCGATTCAGGTTAAGGGCAGGTACCTTGGTTGCAGGCTCCTTCCCAGCCCGGGACCTGGTCAGGGCTCATGTAGGAGGCAACCAATTGATGTTTCTCTCACATCAATGTTTCTCTCTGCCTTTCCCTCTCTCTTTGACTCTCCCTAAAAATCAATAGAAAAATATCCTCGGGTGAGGATTAACAAAAAATTTAATTTAATTTAATTTAAAAATGTAAGGTTTCTACAGGAAGAAGTGTGGGACAAGGGAGCTATTAGCAAAAGAGGAAAGGATTCTTTGTAGGCCAGGACATCTCCTTTTCAGGGGGTGGGGAGGGGTGGGGGCAACAAGGGTTTTACCTGCAGATTGCCTCTTCCTCTTTTGGGGCTGGGAGGAGGCTCATGTTGAGGGTCCATGTGACAGATATCTTACTGGTGCTAGCCCAGAAAATTCCATATTGGTAGATTAAGATAACATTTCTGATGAAGGTTAAAACTGCAGTTAGGTCAGGTATTCAGTCTAGGTTTGGTATCATGGGCTTTAGCACAAGAAACACCCTTTTGGGCCTATGATTTTCTCTTTAACATTCATCAACCCAATAAAGATGATATCCAGCTTCCCATGCAGCTCTAAAGAATTGCCCTAGCCAGTTTGGCTCAGTGGTTAAAGCGTCAGCCCATGGATTGAAGGGTTGCTGGTTGATTCCAGTCAAGGGCACATACCTTGGTTGCAGACTCTATCCCTGGCCCTTATCAGGGCGCATGCAGGAGGCAACCAAACAATGTGTCTCTCTCACATCGATGTTTCTGTTTCTCCCCCTCCCTTCCACTCTCTAAAAATCAATGGGAAAAATATTCTCAGGTGAGGAATAGCAAAATAATAAATAATTACTCACTACAGAGTCAGTCCTTGGCAACAAATGACAAATGCTGGCGAGGATGTGGAGAAAAAGGAACCCTCGTGCACTGCTGGTGGGAATGCAGACTGGTGCAGCCACTGTGGAAGACAGTATGGAGTTTCCTCAAAAAGTTAAAAATGGAACTCCCATTTGACCCAGTAATCCCACTTGTAGGACTATATCCCAAGAAACCAGAAACACCAATCAGAAAGGATATATGCACCCTATGTTCATAGCAGCACAATTTACAATAGCTAAGATTTGGAAACAGCCTAAGTGCCCATCAGCAGATGAGTGGATTAAAAAACTGTGGTACATCTACACAATGGAATACTACGCCGCTATCAAAAAGAAGGAACTTTTACCATTTGCAACAGCATGGATGGAACTGGAGAGCATTATGCTAAGTGAAATAAGCCAGTTGGAGAAAGATAAATATCACATGATCTCACTCATATGTGGGATATAATGATCAACATAAACTGATGAACAGAAATAGATCCAGAGACAAATGGCAGGGAGGGGGGCATAGAGGTCAACCAAAGGACTTGCATGCATGCATATTAGCATAACCAATGGACACAGACCCTGGGGAAGTGGGGGCTTACCCTCGGGGGTGGAAGGGGCGGGGGGGTCAATTGGGGAAAAAGGAGACATATGTAAAACTTTGGAAAATAAAATAAAATAAAAAACAAGTTTTAGAGTAGAGATCTAGGGTATGACTGAGCACACCTTCATATCTAAGATGTACTCAACCTCCTTCCAAGTCTGTGAGTCTCTATCTATGACTGAAAAAACAATTGGAAATGCAAAGAGATATTGTGAGACTTTAATGTCATTATGGTGATGTGAGAAAGAGAAACCCACTTTTTGCATTTTGTTGGAACAACAGAAGGAAGATTTCATAGTCAGATGTGCTTTAATTTTTGCTAAGGAAAATTACAATATTAATTAGAGGAACTTAAACTTTTCTGTGAGATCAAGGGTTTTAGTTCATGATCAAACTTGGGGCATTTTGTATCACTGGAATATATGTCCACTATGCCAGAGACAAGGAAATGAGTGCATTCTCCAGGGGAGAGAGACCGCCACCTCTACCAGAATTTATTGTGTATGTAGCCTTCAGGTTTCCTTAATTAATGCTCTTCCTTGACCTGTTCATGGGAGCAACATGAAAGAGAAATTTACAAAAAGGCCTTCTGGGGCCTCACTGCCTTCTTAATTAGTCCAAGAACTGTCTAAGATTTTTGAAGTGACTCCAAAAAGATCCAAGCAGGATATGTCACTCTGGATTTGGTCAGAAAACAGGGTCACTACAAGTATTAAGAAATAAGGAGTTTAACACAGGAATTCAAGTCTGCAGCTAAAAAAGAAGGAAAACAGTCACTGACAGCCTTACACTAAAGGCATGGGGGGTGGGGGGCAGGCCTCCCAGGGAAGCTCCAAACTGTTGCACCTGCCCCGGGGGAGCTCTGGGGAGACCTGCAAGCTGCTATCCGTGGCCGCCATAACTTCCTGTGAATGATGGCTTTTGTTTCCACTTCCACCCTCCAAATCCCAAAGTCTCCCTCTGTTGTCCAATTCTAACTCAGAACCATCCCTGGAGTCACCTTTTACCTAGTTTCTCCTTCTCAGTCTCTTTTAATGGTTCTTCTTCATCTCTCAGAGATCAGTCCCTGGGACCTCCTTTCTTATTTCATCCAGTCTCATGACTTTAAATAGCATCTCTGTACTGGTGATGGACCCGAACATATATCTCCAGCTCAGACCCTGCCCCAAACTCTTGACTTATATACTCAGGTGCCCTCTTGATTTCTCTGCCCAAAGGTCTAATAGCACAAACCAAATCCTTGATTTCCCCTAAGAAAAACGTCTCCCTCAGTCTTCCCCATCAAAATAAATAGAAATTCTCTGTGTGT